ATTTGTCTTTAAACTGCTATTCATTGGCTAGTTCCCATTTTGGCATGTTGTCACAAAAGTGCTTTTAAAATCTAAGCTATTGGGTTTTTAAGTGGTTTAAAGTAGTACAGTGCAAATTAAAATTGTGTTGCCGTACTTTTCCAGTCTGTGTTGGAATTATGTACACATTTTACAAAAATACATGGCTACTTTGAATGGCTGACAAATGAGAGAGAAATGGAGAAAGATGCTTTTTTGGAACCAGATGTTATAGTGACAACATCTTTCAGCAGGCCTTGTGTTACAGTAGATCTAATTTTACACTATTTGTAGTTTCGATGCTATCAGGCATCAACTGTGAACTGGTGTGTCAACCCATGTGGTGTAGAGCAGCCGCAGCGTGGGATCACTGGGAGAATGATCAAGCAGACACAAAGAGCCAGTGTACTACCACTTCATTCTCAAGTTTATTAAGGATGATGGGTCATATTTATACCACAGATTCATATAGCAACATACACAATGTCCTGGACGTCCAATTAAAGTACTCAAGAAGTGCACGTGTGTGTGTGCTTAGTCCCTGTCTTTTTCGTGCGGGTGTACCAGTGTGCCCAAGGTCTAGTTCTTGTTTTGTCTAGGTGTGTCCGTGATGGGCACATAACAAAAGGGCAGTCAAAAGTGAAGCCCAATAAATAAGAAATATTAACACCTTGCAACCAGCCAAACTTGACTGCTTGGTATCACCTGTAGAAGCATGGTGTGCATGTGATGAGTTTGTTTCACCCTTGACCTTTGTAGATGGTGGAATGGAAATGGGAGGGCTTACCAGTCGCAGACAATCCGAATGTCAGGAACCTTTGACCCCAGAACCCATGGACAATCTGCCACAAAGGAGGAAAAAGAAGAAGAAAGCACAAGCAATTGGTAGAAACAGTGTTCAATAGCATGTCCTGTTCACTTCGACTCATCTGATATCTGTAGAGGTGGGATTTCATTAACATAGACACCCCAGAAATAATGCTGATTTGCTCTTATTGGTCAGATGTGGAGGGAGGTCAGAGAGACCTGGTGTCAAACGGAGATATGGTGGATCAGAATGTCGACGAAGAGGTGACGAGACCAAAAAAGAGGAAGTATGTTTTTTTTGTTTTTTTTACCTTAAACTGGTTATGTAACTTTTATTTGAAAGCTCTATTGAATTTAATGTCATTCAACTAACACTTTCTATTTCTTTCGTTCTCCAGAGTGAAACCTAAAGTAACAGAAACACAGTCCAATGATGAACTGGACATAGAGGATGATGACATCATCACAGACCCCCAGGAGCCTGTCCCCCAGCATTCCTTGTTCTCTGCTCCCCAAGGGCAGAGTCAGCCTGTGGGGAAGGTGTTTGTGGAGAGAAGCCGTAAGTTTCAAGCAGGATATTGTGTAGATGTTGTGTCCAGAGTGAAACCTAAAGTAACAGAAACACAGTCCAATGATGAACTGGACATAGAGGATGATGACATCATCACAGACCCCCAGGAGCCTGTCCCCCAGCATTCCTTGTTCTCTGCTCCACAAGGGCAGAGTCAGCCTGTGGGGAAGGTGTTTGTGGAGAGAAGCCGTAAGTTTCAAGCAGGATATTGTGTAGATGTTGTACAGACTGTTTGCTAGTTCATAAACTGCAACTTTTGACATCTAAACATTTAAATCATAATTTTAAGTCATATGATGAGATTTCAAGTTTTCCTTTCTCTTTGGAGTGTTACAAGCTCTTGGTGCATAAAGAAGATCTGTAAAGTTGCAAAGACTAAAGTCTCAAATCCAAAGAGATTTTCTTTATAAAAGTTAAGAGTCAGCCACGCCTACCTATAACGGCTCGTTCTAACACGCCCCCACATGTCTACGTCACGATGTGTGAAAGTTTGCATAACGCCGCCCAAATGTTCACGCAAAGAAAGAAGGCGTAACTTTGATTCTCGCTGTAGTATTGTTGTCGCCGCCGCCATGTTGTGGAGACACTCTGTGCTACGTTGTGAAAGCGAAACTACTTTGTTTGGTCTTCCAAAAGAGGACGATATCCGCTTCGTCATGCCTAGAGCTGATCTGTGCTGGTTGCTGAGGAAATACATCAACTTCGTGCGGTGGATCGCCGGATCGGCTTTCAACCTTGGACAAAGCGGAGTCCAGCCCGGGGTCGTCACGTGTGGTTGCCGCAAGCCCACCAGCCGCCGCTCACTCAAGCCCGCCGTGTGTGACGCTGTGTGTTTCATTGTGAAAGCGAAACTACTTTGTTTGGCCTTCCAAAAGAGGACACAACTAGAAATCAGTGGTTAAGTTGTATTTACAACACTGTTCCAGAACAGTTCAACCCAAATATTCAGATGTGTGCAGCGCATTTTGCGGAGGATGAGGACTGTTTCCTGGGAGAGTAGCCTACAATGCCAGTGTCTGTTTCTATAAAGTGGGGCAATTCCAACTTTGCAAGGACAGTCTGGCGCTTCTGACTCACAGCCTGTAAACTGTAAAGTTTTTTTATATTTAAAGGATTTGCCACTGACGATTCAAACGCGAGTTTTGAGCAGTGTAGAGTAGCACTTGTTGTTTGTTGTTTCTCCGATCTCAAATGCAGACATGGTTTTATGTTTTTGCAGCGTGATACGCAACGCAACGCGTAAAAAGACAGTATAAGTCATTATAATCAGTAATTATGTCCCCACTG